ACATGAAAACATTAAATAGTGAATTTTAATGGATTGAAAATTATTGATGTATGAACACCCGTGCAGGGAAATTTTTAACCATGATTTCTACCCGCTAAAATTTTACTTTTACAATAAATTCATGTCTACTTGTATTTGAAAAAACAAAAATAATGAAGAGCGTGCAGTAAAAATGTATGAATTTTAAACTGTTACCCCACAAATATAATAATAATATCAATGGAGCCAAGTAAATAATATAATTACTGAAAAATTCTAGTGACAACTTTCTGCAATGATAAATTTCAAGATAAGAAATGATAACTAGTCACTTTTCATTGAGACTTATTGGTAATTATTTTCTTTCTCTCAATATCAATTGATGGAAGAAATCGTGACGTTTTATTAGAGTAACTCAGAAAAGAAATATAAAATTTTACAATGCAACCATATATTTATGTATTAGTATCTACCTAGCTGAACAATAGAAAAATGATTACAAGCTAATCCGGCAAAAATTCTCGAGTACACATTACGTGAGATCTAATATGTTTCGCTGATCCCACTTTGCAGTACTTGTGTTATGAATGAGCTTCATCATCACTCCTCACCAGTAGTCACCACAAGAACAAGTCCCATTTCTGAAATGGTGGAACCTGCTAGCGTCCCTCAACACGATTTCTCGTCCAGTAACCATGGCTATGTATTTAATCGCATTATGGCAGTCACTACAAATGCGATGGCTCTGAGTTATCTGCAAAGGCGTCCATTTTTTTGTGCTGATCAATCCAAAAGCTATTGCTAATTTCTCGCTATGGTATTTCAATACACGCTGTTCTTCTTCATCTACATCAGGAAGCAAAGTACTGTTCTCCACCATGTAACCATGTCTTGATATCTCGAGCATCAGATTGTCCACTTCTTGGTATATTTCTTTCACTTGCGGGTGGGATTTATCTCCAGAAAGGAAAGCAAATGTCTGTTTATTAACTTCAATCCAGGTACATGCTGGAAGCATTCTTAAACCCTTCCTCTTTAAGGTCTGAACAACACCAGCCGCTTCCTTCAACTTGCCAGCTCTGTTATATATATTCAACAGCACCACATAATTGCTCAGCTTCTCAGGCTCCATTCCATATAGTTTTTCAGCCGCAAACTTCCCGAGCTCTAAATTCTCATTCATTCGGCACGCTGTCAGTAACGCTGCCCACATGTTAGTCGTTGGTTGAAAAGGTGCACTTCTGATTAATGCAAATGCCTCGTCTAAAAGACCCTCTCTACCTAACAATTCGATCATACACGCATAATGCATTGCTCGGGGCTTAATCTTATGGTCTCGAATCATAGATTGAAAAATCTCCCAACCTCTTTCTGATAATCCTGAATAACTGCAAGCAGACAGGACAGCAAGAAAAGTGACATGGTTGGGAATCATCCCTTCTCGAAGCATCTGCTCAAACATACTTACTGCTTCATCACCCTGACCATGATTGCCATATCCAGCAATCAATGCGTTCCAAGATATAACATTCTTGCAAGGCATCCTGTTAAAAACATGACGAGCATCTTCCATCCTACCCCATTTGCTATAGAAGTCCACGAGAGCTGTGTTAGCCACTATATCAGAACCAAAACCATGACGAACTAAAGCAGCGTGAGCTTGTTTTGCATGTTCCAGTGAGGCCAATCTTGCGCATATTCTTATAACTATTGACAATGTAAAATGGTCCATTTTAACACCACAATTGCGCATCTCATAATACATTTCCAGCGCTTCCTCACTATAACCATGAAGCGCATAACCGGCAATAATGGAATTCCATCCTACAGTTGTCTTTTCTGGCATTAAATCAAACACAAATTGAGCATCTTCAATGACGCCACACTTACTATACATGTCAATCAGTGCACAAGACACAAAAATATCTTCACCCACACCCATTTTCAGAGCGCATGAATGAAACTGCCTTCCTACATGAATGAGACTCAATCCAGCAGACGCTCGAACCATGGTAGCGAAAGTGCGAGAGCAACCATCAGAAACCTCTTCCCACATCGTTAGAAATAATCTAATGGCTTCCATGTATCTGCCAGAGTCTACAAGTCCCGCCAGGATTGTGTTCCAGGACAACAAGTTCCTCTCAGGCATTTCACCGAACAGTTTGCACGCATCGATCATCATACCGCATTTCACGTGCATTAGCAACACTCTGTTCCTCATATACAGATCTGGCTCAAACCCATTAGTAACCATGTAATTGAACACCCTCTTTACACCTCTTATCGATTTCAGACTAACGCAAGCACTCACCAACGCATCGTACGTACTGCTACCCACATCATAACCACTTTGAAGCTCCAAAAATTCAAACAATTCGAGCGCTTCGCGGTACCTACTGCACAAAACCAGCTTCTCTATCTGACTACATAGTCCTGGAGGGGGTTTTTTAACCTGGGATTTCTCCAAGATCGGTTCTTGTCTTTCATCAAAACCGATTTTCGAAGGTTTTGGCGTCGGCCGGGGTCGCAACCCTTGTTCCATAGAGGAACAATGGATCTGCGAAGAAGCTTTCCTCCATTTTCTTTCTTTTAAGAGACACTTATTGGACGGAAATGCAAATCCACGAGGAGTTTGGATTTGATCCAAAGACCAAGTTTGATGACGGGAGAGGGGGATTTCCATGTCTCCGAATAAGAAGCGAATCTAATAGAGTGGGCAGCAAGTGGGAATAACCAAGAAGGCGATGATAATGGAGTGGACAGAGGGTGCGAAGGTGACTTCATGTTGGGTTAGAAGGAAGAAAGGGAAGTCAAGAAGGGAAGAGGCGGCATCGAGGAATCCGCCAGATTTGGACAACGAGGAATGAGGTAGGTTTGGTGGTTGCAAAGATGAGGAAATAGCACCGGCGATACTTCCTATGCTCATCTCCAAATCCACTGGAATGATATGCTCTGCTTTTGCTTTCGAATTCAGCCTAGCCCAACCTCTGCCTTCTTATTATCTACTATTTCTTCCCATAAATTGGCCTTCTAGTATGGGAGTATGGGTGGAAACGAGGTGATTATTAAAATTTTGTATTGTACTTCCGATGCTAGTACAAAAACTAGCTGGATTGAATTCGATAATAAAAATAAAATTTAATTTACTTTATTTTATCTTGTTTCTCAAATTAATTATTTAATGTCATGTAAAGATATTTTAGAAAAATTAAGTAACATTTGTTATAATTAATTGACTTTTTAATATGGGATATCCAAATTAATTAATTAATTAGCTTTTATACTGAAAACTATAAAAGATATAAATATCTAGATTAGATTTTTTTTTTTGGTTGCAATGTGATTAAAAATGGAACAAATTTGTAAAAATTCGAGTAAAATTTCAATTGCATTGAAGAAGGGAGGCAGAGATGAGGCTTTTGAAAAGGAAGAGCGTGCGAGGGGTTGAAGTGAGTGAATATTTTTGAGAAAGTAAACAAAAGAAAGGAGACAGTGATTTTTTTTCTGTTATTAAAAACTGAGTGTTGGTGGAAGTGGAACTTAAGGGGGAAAATTGAAACCAATGCTTGATGGGATCGAGGAGGGATTGGTTGGAGAATCAACATGAAAAGTCACGCAAGCACGCAAAAACAAGGTTTTGTTCTGTTTTGTTCTAATCATCTCCTCTGTTATGGTCATGGCCAGTTCTTTCCCCATACACAGGGATTAGGAAGGGGTAGAGGCTAGCAGATTGGTTGACAAATCAAGCAGAAGAGATGATGCCTATCGGTGTCTGCCATTTTGATTGCCCACCAAATGCATGTTTGTTTTCTTTTCTTCTTCTGGCCACGCCAACTGAGATCTTGTTTTAATTTGCTGTTAGAGGATCTTTTCAGTCTAGTGAGCCCTTAGATTTTGCTCTCCCTTGGCTTTGTCCAAAGGGGAAAAAAGAGAGAATGTGTGAAGGCTTTTTTTAAAGGACGTAATGACCTTGATAGTGACGAAAATTTTTCTCATTGTCCTTGTTTATATAAAGCGACTAAGCTACAACGTGTAGCTATTTTCTATAGTGATCTAAAACCAAATGTGATTGATATTTAGTATTTTAATTCTATGCCACCGCAAAATCATATGCCAGGGAGGAACAGCCGTTGGAGTCCCTGAGAGAACTAGTACGTTCTAAAGCAGTGTTCATAGATTCAATCAACCTTTTCAAACATACAACAAAAATAAAATTAAAGTTCAATCTCAAAGTACGATGATCAGGATATAACTGTTGGAGTGATCGATTTGGATTCTTTCTGAAATTTACGAAGACGAAAAACATAAGTTACGGCCAAGGTAAAGGCAGGGCACTTTTTGGACCTAAGAAAAATAATGGCAGGTTAGGCAGTGAATGTGATGCAATAGTTTGCTGACCTTTCAAATAATAGTGCTCCCTTACTTTCAGGCCATACGAGAACTTCTCATTCGCCCTGTAAAGTGTACATAACTTTCCCTTCAGTTGTCCACCAATAATGACCAATGAGGAGCTTCGCTTGCCAATGAAAAACATCAATGCAATGCTGTTCTGGAACACTGTCAAGTCAATTTGAAAAAAAAGTTTCTTCGGATTCCGGAAAGATGTGATCACACTATTGTACTGATGTACTTGCACAATCAGAATTCCCGATGATTGGGAAAGCTTGTATGACAAGAGCAGGACACACGCAAAAACAACGCAAACAGATGTTAGTTAAACTTGCACAGCGAATCAGACTACAGTAGGAGGCATGATTGAAAAGAAAAATCATTGGCTTCACTTATATATGAGCGAGACATTAGCCTCAATTTTTCCCCTTGTCATTCAATTTCAATTCATACCAGGGACTAAATTCATGACAAATTCAACTAGATCACCTGGGTCTAAGTGGCAAATCAGGCAGTGAAACAACTTACATAGCTCATGACGGTCAGATTCACAAACTCTGCGTAGAAAATAAAGAAACTTAAATACGAGCAAACTATCATGCCTTCCCATAACATGTCTAGATTGGAACTTGACAAGGCTCAAATGTATGTTCATAATAACGCCAGATAACCAGAATAACAATCTCCTCTATTATAACATGTTAACCATGAGATACTGTGGACATTGATCCCCAAACTGATATTACTGCTATCATGAAGAATGATGAAATTCAGATACCTAAAACAGGAAAGTAATCCCCAGAAGCGAATTTAATAAGGGGTTATTATATTCCAAGGTGTGACAAATTCATTATGATCGATATTTCATCATAAGCTTACAACTTATTGCCCAGAGGGCTTATTCAAAGACAAAATAGGCTAGTCCCCTATTAGATAGACCAGAGAAGGCCTAAAAGTTGAAGGGTCTCGTCTCATGTGTGATCCTACTTCCTGATCTTTCGATGCTTCTTGGGACCTGGAACTTGTAATCTACCAACAGAACACCCACACTTTGCCCTGAGAATAAGAACAGCCCTTCCGTTAGGGGGTGCCATCTTCCTGAGTTGAGCTTCCAATTCCCTGTTTTGATGGCGAGCCAGTTCAAACAAGCCCTTCTGGAATCCATCTCCATCTGTTCCCAATGAAGCTGACTTTTTCACGCAATCCTCTGTCTCCAATTGAATGTCAAATTCAACAGAATTTTTTAGGCCCTTGCAGTTGGGATTTCCACATTTTCTACCCGTCCATGTCACAACTAAGAAAGTAGCCAATACAGCGGAAGAAACACTAAGTCCTATAGAGATGTAGATCAATGGAGCCATAGAAAACTCCTCTTTCACCGCATCCAGGATTGTCCCACCAATCTCAATAGATTTAATTATCAAAATCTGGATATAGGGAAATAACAAGAATCCGCATGCGCAAATTACAGCGATAAATATCACTACATCGACCACCGCAAATCGAGATCGATCGCAAGGTGGAATTTGCAGACTATTGAAGGAAGCGGGCGTCTTCCTATTACGCAGGATGTTATTGCTTCTCCTCGATTTAGAGCCGAAGTCGGCTGAACAACTAGAATTCGCCATAGCAGGGGGTTGGTCAACGGACTGGCAGAGCGAGATAGAGTTATCGAAATAGAACATTTCAGATAGAACCCAGAAATTGAATCCAATCAACGATTGCAGAAAAATCACAGATTAAAACAATCAATCTAGACTAGAATCGGATCGATCCAAATCGTTGAAATCAAAAAGAGAAGAAATTGAAGTGATCCAGAAAGATCGAAAGAGGTCGGTGCCCAGATGCATCAATCTCTTTTTCCCCACCTTTCAAGGCAGTTTTTCACAGCTCAAATCCAGTACGTGATGCAACCTAAGAGTTACTTTAAATTGAATAGCTAAAAGGCCAAAACTGATAGAGGAGTGAAATGGGGTTTAAGGCCGGCTTGAAGAGTTCCAAAGAGGAAGAAGCACCAGAGAGGACAAGGGAGAGTCATTACTAGTCTTCATATGTTATCAGGATTCGCCATTTCGCAAACGAATCGTACAGAAGCTTGCATTTTGTTTGTAATAAACATTTGGAAAGCGAGAGCGTCGAACGAGGATGAATAACGTCGTGGGCTGTTTCCACAATGGGCTTGGATTTTGCTTTTATTGATTTCAAATTATTATTTACAAATGATATGGTGGGCCATATTCTATGGGCTAGCTTCACTATGGCCCACCTCTCCAGGGTAAATATAATCAATTACGTAATCATATAGACTCACGCTTTAATTATACCTCTACTTTAATCCTAATTATAAGAGCTAGTTGACTAATTTTAAAAGATTAAGAAAAAAATTTAAGTTATTTATTTTTCATAAATAGGTGTTGCCTTTTCTAAAATATCCTTGCTAATTAAATATATTGGCTAAAACTACCATTGTTGGAAGGACTATATTTAAAAAAATGCATAAATATTATAGACAAAATATATTAGAGTCTTATATTTAGAACGAAAATAAAATTCAAATGAGGTCTCATATTAAGGACCAAAGGTAGTATTGATTATCAAATTAATAAAAAATAATGCTTCGAAACATTGTAACTAAATTTTGGATCGAATTTTAATAAATCGAATTTTTATTTCATGTATTAGAATATCATCTAGAATAAATTAAAACAACTGATTAAAATACTTGATATCGGCTAACAAATGATTAGCAATGAATAGTGGAATTCATTTCATAGACTTGATGTAATGAAATAGAGAAAACAGTTAGTTGATGAAGTAGTTAAAACACAATTTATGAATGGATTAGTAAGTAAATGTGGGTATAATGAGTTCCAAATCATAAAGGTAGGGCAGCATGTTTATGTTAACTTTGAAGAAGTTGGAAAATAAAGGAAGGCTAAAAGAGGGGTTGAGACAACATGACTTATATTGATAGTTTAATACTTTCTCTGGTTTTAATATAAGAGTTAAATAATTAATTTATAGAGATTAATTAAATTATTTATTTATTAAAAATATTTATTACCTAAAATACTATTTTTTAATTATTTGCATTAGAGTTATCTGTTAATGAAAACACCCTTAATATATACAATCAATACTAAGAGTTTGAAAAAAATTATAAATTTAGGGGACAAATTTGTTTTAGGTTGTATATTTGGAATTAAAATAAATCTCTGAACTAACTATTATATTTAGTGCTGGTGAAGTACTTTTAAACATTTGGATTGGTTTCTTACAAAAGGAGGAGATGGATTTCTCCTTTATTAACAGGAGTTCATTGGAGAATTCAAATGAATCGTCAACTCCTTTATCTCACCACATGTCCAACAAGAGGCTTTTCATACAGTGCTCCAAGAAATGCCCATTTTAAGAGTTGTTTTCCTCTACCTAGCTCTGATCCTAAATATAAAATCAAATTAACTAATTTAAAGATATTAAGAAACTTATTAAATTACTCTAAAGTATGTATATTTATCACTTTTATTCAAACTAATTTGCCACTTAAAAATTAATATAATGATTTACATAAGTATTTGAAAGAGATCATATAATATATGCTATTATTAAATAATTTATTAATTTTCTTAATATCTTTAAATTAGTAAATGTGTCTTATATTAAACACCAGAAATAGTATTCATGTCTCTATTTTTAGACGGGGGTAGTATTATGTCTCTTTTTTTAGTAATGCCAATTATCCATTTAATAAGTACTACGCATGCCATGGTTAAAAAAAAAAAAAACTACGTATGGCCATTTTTCTTTGGTCTCTCCAGTTTTTACCTCAAAAAAAAAAAAAAAGAACAAGAAGAAAAGAAAACCTTCATAATTAACGCATTATTCCTTCGATACCAAAATAACATAACTCCTAATTGGCTGGTGACATAAATACACATAGCTCCTATTTGCATAAAAGGGCATGGCAGAACCAAATCTGACTATCTTATTGCTCTCTCTCTCTCTCTCTCTCTCTCTCTCTCTCTCTCTCTACCGGTATACTAGCCATAATCTGTTCTGAACATAATTTGCTGCTGAAAACTGACCCACTGTGGAGTCAGTAAGATGGACATGCAAAGCTCATCTCTTTTAAACCATTCAAATCATATTTAAATGATCTAGATTTAATCTTTCGAATTAATTATTTTTATATAATAAAAATTAGAAAAAATTAGGGATAAATCTTTTATTACAAATTTAATTAGCAAATGATCTCTAGAATGATTGATTGCACAAGAGAAGATTAGTTGCACACAAAGAGAAGATAGTTTGCACAAAAGTATTTGAATATAAGGGATTAGTTTACACATAGAGAAAATGATTTGCATATAAAAGAATTTCATTTGCACAAAAAAAAATTAAGTTGCACATTGCACAAAGAAAGATTATTACACACAAGGAAAGATAAATTACACATAAAGAAAGTTAAGTTGCACAAAGTTCTTAGATCTTATTTGCCAATTAAATTTTCAATGAGGGATTTATCCTTAATTTTTTCTAAAAATTATTTTTTTAAAAAAAGTGATAGTTAATAGATCATTTTTATTTTAGATTCTATACCTATTAAAATAATTATTTTAAAAAAAATTTAAATATGGATCATCTAAGTCTCATCTAGATCCAGATAGAAAAGATGAACACCTAAGTTGGTTCTGCCTCATTATCTAGTATTTCATCAGCTTTCTGTGAAAATAGTGTATAGTGTTCATGTATTGTTTATGTATATTAAACTGACAATAACTTCAACTTTCAGTTCTGTTCATCCAAGGTCAAAAAAACTTCTGTTCATCATAACTCAATTCACATTACTAAAATTTAAAATTTGTGGTCGTATAGCTGCTAGTCCACCAATTTATCGCATACAATATATGAAGGAAGCCCCCTATTTTAGACAATGTGACTGCGTCAGAGATAAATTATTTTGAAATAATAATATGACTCCGTCAGAAATAAATTATTCCAAGTTGCTAAAGATTATATTAACTTAGTCAAACTCATAGACAAACGTTTTTTTCAAAGACATAAATGGCGTCTATCATAGGGCACTGGTCTTGTAATTATTTTTTGGGGGCCACAAGGAGATAGTCAATTCAATTTGCAATCCTGTCCCCTCTCAAGCCATTTTTTCTCGTTGCAATTTTCTCACCCTTCCTTAACAAGCAGGTCAGATAAAGAATTAATGGTATCTTATGTTTACAATGATCTTTTCATTTGTATGAATTTTGAAATCTAATGTATCAGATGAAGTTCTCTTTACTTTTAAAGCTGAACCCAGGAGACTAGGTTTGATATATTCTTTTACAAGTAACCCAAGGCTTACTCTATCTATTTCAATCTTATGCCTTGTCTCTTAAACCCCAGTCTTTCTGGTCAACCCACCGAAAATACTTTTTTTTTTTTAAAATAGAGTTTTAAAATATTTAACATTATATTTAATTTAAGAGGAAAAAAGACAAATAATTACACTTAAAGCTTGGAGAATTTTTAGCAAAGGCTAGGCAATGTGGGATTTGATCACACTGCTTTTTGGTTCCTAAATAATACACTGCCAAGTTATTTTATATTACCAACAATTCTTAGTATAAGAGTTAGTTGCGAGTGAAGTTTGATTTTAAATACAAGACCTTAATCCACTCTATCTCTTGATACTTGTCATTATTTTTTCAAACTATCCTTATTTATTGTGTATGTTAAAGAATTTTGTATTAAGGAGTAGTTTTAATGCAAATGATTTAATATAATATTTTAGAAAAATCAAAATATTTTTTTGACAAATAACTAATTTATCTCATTTTCATAATTACTTAAATTAGTTAAATAGATATTATACTTAAAGTCAGAAGTAGTATATCATTTTACATTATATTAGGGTGTGCTTGAGATTGCATAAAAGTGATTTTTAAAAACACTTTTTCGTAAAACGAGACAAATTTCTCTACATATTTACTTCGTATGCCATAAAAATATTTTTAAAATCATAATTTAGTTTTCATCTAAATTTTTTCCTGAGAAGCTTTGAGTAGCTGTGGCTATTTACTTGTGTTGTTTTTTCCTCAATTCAAAAACTAGCTTGCTCTCAATCACCAACCTGGACATTCAAAATAAAAGCCCAAATCTTTTGAAGTAGTTATTTGGAAAACAGAAAACATCTTAGTCATCATGTTATCGTTTTATAAACCTGTTCATAAAGAAGCAAATAAGAATAGAAAAAGGAGAAGTCAAATTGTGCGGAGTGGAGAAAAAGGCAAAAGCCACAATTAGACGTCTTTTGAGGTTTTGGAATAGTTGGTGCTCCCTTTTCTTTTTGTCTTTGTGCGATGAACATATGCCGCCTCAATTACCAGCGTCACGTGAACGATTCAATCCGTCGAAAGTTCCCTGCCCCTTACTCTTCGCTAAAGTGGACCCCACCTCGAATATTATCATCCCTTTCTCACAATTTTGCAATTCAATCAATTAATTTTATTCATATCCTTCATAACATGAAATAGATTAATTAAATTGTTATGAAATTAACCAACAATGAAAGTAGATTGGAGAAGAGAAGTAGACAAGAAAATGAGAGAATGATATTGTATTCCTTGCTTTGCTTCACTTGCCTCACAATACAATGACATGCTTTATTTATAGGCATAGTCTCACACATAAGTTACATTTGTACTTAAATGATAGATAGTGGACAATAAACCATATGAATATGAGTGGGGGGAGTTACAAGATTAAAGACATAGTGGAAAGGTAATGGAGTAGTGGAAGATTAATGCCTAGTGGAAGTAGTGGGAGTTGATGATGAAGTTGAGAGGAAGAGGAAGAGGAAGAAGAGGAGATGGACATCCACATGTTATAATATTCATAACACTCCCCCTTGGATGTCCATTATATAATATATGTGCCTCGTTAAAAAACTTCAACTAGGAAAAACCCTGTGGGATAAAAACCTAGTAGAAGAAAAAGAGTACACATTCATTGATACACTATTCGATGCTGCCTCATTAAAAACCTTGCTAGGAAAACCCAGTGGGAAAAAACCATAGACAAGGAAAAAA